ATCACTTGTTTCTGATCTTCTATTGAAATTTCTTTCCTGTATTGTAAAGTCTACGCCTGTATCAACTCTACTTTCCTAAGCTTTTCTAACTTGACTACCTTTCTTCACTCTATTTTTCTCTTTTGCTTTGCTAACAATTCTCTCAGCTAGTTTTTCTATCAATTTTTTTTTTGTACCTGCTTTTGACAAACTCTCACTCTTGCATAGCATTTGTAACGATTTCATCAAAAGCCTATCCATACTAGTTCTCAACATCTGTTGTGAAAGTTTTTCTGACTCATCCCCAAACTACTGTTTATAGGTGATGTTGTTGGCAATATTTTCTGTAAATCGTAATTGATATCTGCTTAAGCCATTTTTCTTATTTATTAACTACATAGTTCTCGACAAAGATAGACTTGTGTGAGCTAACAGCAAAGACAAAAGAGAAAGACAATTCCCAATTTCCACTGCTTAAATACTCAATACCTATTACCTCATTTCAAGCATCATCTAATTAATCAACAAACAATACATCATACTTACATGTTCTCTTTAGTCAAACTCAAACTCATACTAATCAAACAATACCTCTTACTTACATACTTCCCATTATTACCTCTTACTTAATTTAAAACTCACCTATCGAACAATATATTATACTTTCTCTATATTATACTCATTATTCAATTAATCATATTGACATTACCCAATTTCTCATACTTACATATCACTTAATCAATGCTCTGGGTCAGACTAGGTTGTAATCTCATGACAATAGATGCCTCATGACTTATTTTTGTTATGTTATTTACTAAAGTTGCTAATAACTCATTTGAAGTTAGCTTTAGCTATATAATAAAGCAAAGCCAAAGAGTTATAGTAATTGAGTTATATTTTAGAGCTATAACTTATTAATTACTATTATATACAAATCAAATTTTATATAATTATATAATAATTAATATACTAATATAAGGATTTTTTTTTTTAGTGCACCTGCATCATAGTACACCCCTTCTATAATTAAAAACATATAGATTAACATATACAGTCAAACCTCTCTATAGTCACCTCCTATATAAGCACATTTTCTTTATAAGCTTATTTTTTAAAAAACT